GTGTGTGTGTGTGTGTGTGTGTGTGTGTGTGTAATTTTTTATTTTATTTCTTCCACCCAGCTTTCTAAGGCCGTCCTAGCATTCCCGGACAGGCCCCCAACAGGGAATGCTATAGGTATTTTATGTTGTCCTTTTGTAATGTCTGTAAAATGTTAAAATAATTGAGATGATTAATTTGAATTTTTTGTTTTGGTTTTTGTTTGTGTCTTAAGACATATCATAAAATCTTTTTTTTATTTGTAATGTTTGAAAAAGTATGACTATATTCACCACACATTATGACCTTGTGGCATGGAACCCATGAAGAATAGTCTCTATATTAGAGACTAATGGTGATCCTTAACTAAACCAGTAAACAAATGTTTGTTCTAAACCAGTCAAAAATGATTGACATCCCAAACAGCATTATGGTTTACACAATTCACAAATCTTTGTAGAACAAATCCAAATGAACCAAAAGTTGGTTTAAAAAATTCCTTTAGGAAAATTTTCATCCAGTCTTATGCTCTCATAAATGTTTTGTTTTGTCCATGTTTAATCTTTTTTTTCTATTCTCTTTTTTTATTGCACTGCTCTAATGAAAGGCAGTAGGAAATGTGAAAAGTCATGTTATGAAACAAAGAAGCAGCCTTTTTCTGCCCCATTTTGACTGGAATGTTTTATATCTGTTGGGGGCAATCCAGAAAATACGCCTTTTTCCGCTGGTTTTTATGTGAGATTATCTGATAAGTCATTGATTCCCACACTTTGGATAATGAAGCAATTCATATCTCACAAGAATGAGTTCAGAAATGTTTATGTGGTTGTTATACCAAGATTGTATGTAAACTCAGCTGATAGTTGGAGTCGAGAGTCTTTTTCACTGCTGTTTTGAAGGCCACAAAATTTGAGAACCAGTAATAAATACAAGCTCTGTTGTGGTATCTATATTGCGTTTATGAAAAATTTAACCTTTGATTTTGATAACAATATTAATTTTGACCACTTCAAAACCTGTGGAATGAGTAGCACTTCTGTAATATTTTAAAACTTGCTACTTGTTAAACTGTACCCACCACTGTGTTTACATGCTTGCTGGCAAAATCATTTGCATTGTTTTTTTTTTCTTTTTTCTTTTTAAAGAATTTTTTATGACATTTCTGTTATTGCACATCTGAGTTACTGTACTGTACATAGTCTGTTGTGTTTTTGAAAGTTCAGACACAGGCACATTTGGACATTTTTAAAAATCATCTAACTTAATTGCACAATAGTGAGTACAATATTTCTATTCTAATAACTATTTATATTATAATCTTGTATGACAGTGATTCTTGAGAATAGGGACAAAACAGGTCCTATGGATAAAGCACCAAACTTGAATAAAATATACACAAAATATAATTTTTTCAAATATCTGACTAACCTGGGTCATGTGAGCACAACAATGTATATTTTCCTGGTGTTTGCTGAATATTTTTTAATTTTAAACATTGTAGTTGGTGGATGATGCCTGTAAAAGCCCAGGAGCAGAACTTAATACATAACAATAGTTTAAAATAATTAAAGAAATACTAAAATTATATATTGTGACAATTAAGTATAAGTAGTCATATAAATAATTATAGAGGTATCAATAAATTGAATTAAAAATCATTTTTTATATATTTTCCAACTCCAGTGAAATTTGTCCCTAGTTTTTGTCAACACTGTCAGAAATGAAAAGAATGTAAAAAAAAAAAAAAAATCAGGCATTATTGGGGGCATCAGAACAATATTTCTTTTGTTTCTTGAGAAGCATTTGTCTGTAAAATGAGTAAAAATATCACTAATAGGGTCAATAAAAATTATTTTTTATTTATTTTTGTCAGATGGTGATGACAAAGTTCTGGGTCAGGTCGATTAAAAATGTAATTTAAAAAAAAATGTTGCAACTGGAAGCCTGTACTTTAGCATCTTTACATTTCCTAAACATTATTTATCATATTTGCATACATAAGGTTGAGAAATAACAAAAAAAAATTATGGGAAAATTAAAATCCATTTTGTCCCTATTCTCACTTATATAATTATTATTACTAAAATAATTATTAGCCTACTACAAAATCTTGTTTTTTGTATAAATAAATCATATTTGTATTTATACATTACTATGTAGTATACTTAGTATATATTTGAGGGTTTTTTTTATACTATCTTTGTCCCTAGTTGAACAACCTACAGCTGTATTTCAGCACGCAGAGTGCTAACTAAGCTATCAACACGTGTAGCGAAGCGAACAGCAGTCAAAGGAAAAGCTTCAGAGGGAGAAACGTCATCGTGACCTTCCTCACTTCCTCATTTCTGGTGTCATCTATCAGTTCAGTTTGTGTAAGAGTTCTCAGTCCACCCCGCCGCTACTCGCTTCCTGCCACCTCATCCTGCATTTCTGCAATGTGCGCGCGAGCGCGACGCGAGACACTTCCTCCGTATGTGTGTGTGTGTGTGTGTGAGCGAGAGAGAGTTTACTGCGCGTGCGGGCGTGCGAGCGGACCCAGTCACTGGCAGCGCAGCTCAAGCAGGAGTAGACCGGTATGAACCAGACTGAGCAGCTTACTCTAGCTGGAAACTCCGACGAGCTCATCGCAACTCGGCCTCCTATTGGCCAAGCATGTGAGACGAATTAAAATGGAAGAGCGCTGATTGGCTAGTTGGCTGCGAGCTACCCGCCTACACGAGAGGAGTCCGTGCAGTGTGTGGCCTGAGAAGGGGGAGGAAGGGGTGAGGCAGGAGAGGAAGGGTGTTGTTACTCTAAAGATGAACTTCAGGTGGACCTGCTGTTCTCACGCGAACACTCCGTTAACATAAACTGTTGTTAATGTCTGCTTTATTTCAGCCAATAAAGTTGTTTGTTTCCGGCCTGTTTTCCTGAGTTTTTCCTTTGTGTTCATCTGAACATCTTCTTTTAAAATAACAGCAGACACTGGAGAACATGACCTTATTTTTTTAATCAGATCATTTTAAAAATGTTTTATATGTTTTAGGAGAGTTATTTTAATTATATAAAGTGTGCTTATGTATTGCTATCAATTTGAATGAATAAATTACTTTAAATAAGCTAAAAGTGTCAAGACACAATAATAAAAAACCTTTAAATCCATCCTATTGTATTATCATTGTGCATTATAAAAAATAAATATGGAATAACCTAGTGGTTATTTTCAAGATGGCAGATGGAAAACAACCGAGTGATTTTTCATATGCAGTTTGATCATCTTTTTGTTCAAACTTGTTAAAGAGTAAAAACACCATGTTTCTGTTTGTGTTTATTAACAAATGCCAGAATTGAAACTTTTTGTGGGGTTTGCATCAAATATATTCGAAGTCTGAAAAACTGTTGGGGACAAAATAAGATATTCGTATTGTTTTTGTAATTTGCTAAGCAAGATATTAAATTATTCCCATCAATACTGACAGCGGATACATTTCCAGATGTTGAGATAGAGTAATATTTCTTTAGATGCTGTATTGGGCCCTTGGATGCTCCAGGGTCATTCACATGGTCCACTGCCTGAGTCCAGTCAAGCTGCAGGGTCAGAGGTCAACACATCTCTGTACATGTTACAAGTGCAGCTTGTATTTCCATAAAGGTTTCATCCAACGGTCTATTTTGCATCTTATTTTATTTATCACCAAGGCAACAGAACAACAAGACTGTGAAAAGTGGAGGCAGGCTTACAGGCAGCAGCTGAAGCATAATTCCCTCCACACACACACACACACATACATACACACACGCACTCAGACTGAGAGTCAGCCTGGTTCTCCCCTCCCCTCCCCCTGTCTCTGGCAGTTTCTGAACAGGTTTGAACCGCTTCTAACAAAGGGAGTAGCCAGATCTGTCCTTATCATTGATGTCAGCAGTGAAAATCGCCTTTCCGCATGTGTCGTTCAGGAAAAGTTGGTTTAAAACTCAAAATCTTGACGATCAGTGTGTGTTTTCGATCGCTTTTTATTGTATATTCGAAGCGTTTGCAACTTTTCAGTTTTCTGCAACTCTCCACAAAGAAGGAAGAAAAAACAAGTCGCGATCAGAAGGTTTAATTGGACAGAAATAAAACTAAAAGCCTCCATCCGTCCCGCTGCTGCCGGCGGTGAAACGGTTTATGAACACACCGAGCAGAGGAGCTGCAGTTCGGGCATCAGCTGTTGCATCAGTACCACTGACTGATGGACTGCGCCCGCTGCATTCCTAAAGTTTTAGAAGTTTTCGTTGATCATCATCATCATCGCTCTTACCTCTCTCCTCTCCGATCAGGGTGTCGCAGTGATGCAGGTAGTCCACCTCCTCCGTGTAGTTCTGGGTGTAAGCGGTGTTGGCCCCGGCGTTTCTCGACTCCGTCCACCGGACTTTGGCGAGCCCCCGCGCGGTGATGTCCAGCCTCTTCACCCGCACATCCCCGGTCACCTCCACCACCACCCGCCCGGAGACCAGGTCTCCCCCGGAGAACACGGGCAGGTTGTTCTCGTTCAGGCAGTCGAAGTAGACCGCCAGGGCCTTAACTTTGCCCAGCACCATAATGGAAATGCTTTTAGAAAACCAAATGTAGAAAAAATAAAAAAATAAAATGTAGGAAAATGTGTATAAAAAAATAGGAGTCTATTGAGGAGAAGATGGGAGCGGGAGCAGCCTGGGGCTGCGGGTGCCCAGCATAGAGCCGGGTCTGCAGCTGTCAGGGATGGCTCATCTGGCAGCTGATGGTCCGCTTCAGCTCTCCTCCTCCTGCAGCTCTCCTCCTCCGGGTGTGCTCTCTCTCAGCTCTGGCTCAGCCTCTCTGCTGCCGTCTGCATGCAGTGGCTGCGCTCTTAAAGCCTCCGCTCGAAAAAAAAAAAAAAAAAAAACAATAATAATCCCACTGAGCATGTGCGCTCCGACCAACCAGCCTGCTGCTGCTGCTGCTGGGCTCAGCCTTTTCTAAACAGGCGAATCTGTCTCCACTTGCCTTCGACGAATCTTATGAAACGGTAATTATATAAATATAAAAACATGCTGGAAGAACTGTGTGCAAAATGGTGACGTTGAGAAACGACAATATCAGTGAAAGATGATGGAGCATGTCAGCCCGCCTCTGAGCTGGCGGGGGAAAAACTGGAGTTTGAAAAAAGTTTTTTTTTTTAAAAATTATTATTATTTTATTATTGATGATCAGCAAAAAGATCATAATCCTGCATTAAAACGAGCTTTTTCAGATGTTTGTTTTGTTATTTTAAATTATCTTATTGTATAACTGTAACAAATGTCTATAGGACTACAAATTAAATTATCAATATGCCAGTTTCATTTCCGGTTTTAATTATTGAATACACTAATTAAAAACAAACGATTCAATTTAATAAATAAATAATAAAACTTATTATATAAAAACGTAGTTTTATTTTTAGTAAAATAAAAACTAAGTGTTTATTTTGCTAAATAAAAACTTAGTAAGTTTGTAGTTTTATTTAAATATAGAGAATTACCAACAGATCTCAGGTGAGGGAGGCACTTAATGTTAATAAATAATTGTTTCAACCAAATGTCACTGCTGTTGACCCCTCTTTCTTATAAAAGTTAATCTCAGTTAATTAAAATATGATGCAAAAGTAAAAAAAAAACAAAAAACAATTCAATAGCTTACAGTAAAACTGGTCGTAGTGCTGTGACAAAAAAAGTAGTGACTTCATTACAGATTTTTTCTGTTTTTGACTTTGCAAAGTATCACAGTGATACAATAAAGTAAATACAAACAAGCTGTTTTATAAAACAATACATTCACCTACTAAGTTTTAAAAAGCTATCTAAACAATATTATCCATATGTGAAAATTTACAAAACCTGATATTTTTCTTGATCCAGTGTTGGGTGAGTCTTTTAAATCTGTGGAGTTTTGGACAAGTCTGCTGTGGATTATTAAAATTTAATTGAATTGTTAATGTATTTTAGTTCAAAACTTTTCAAATGGGATTAAAATCTCCAGAAAACTGTCTATAACTTTGTTTCTCATCTGTTCTTACATGACCTTAATCCAGGGCATGATGAGTTACTCTTTAAGATCTTTCAGCTCTTCATGTCTACTTTGTGAAGGTCTAGATCTAAGTTGAGATTTTTCATCTATCTCATATTACAGTAGGTTTTCCTGCGGTTCAGCAGCTGTTATGCTTTCTTATGGATTTGTGTTACAGTAATTTAGAAGCTGTCAGCAGGAAGAAAGAATTTCATATCTTTATGAGCTGCCTCAGTCAATTAATCTCCTGACCACTATGACTGGATCACTGCACTGATCAATCCTTGTCTGGTTCATGCCCTCAGTCCAAACACAGAGACACTCATTTCAGATAGAGTGAGATAATCTGCGCTTGAGGAGGAATCGGCATGGCCGAAGATGAGTAAACAGGATGATTCTTTACTTTATTTATGCCACAGGGAAAACGCTCCATCAGGAAAATGAGCTGCTTGTGTAACTCTGACTGCAAGAGTGACACAATTATCAGACTCAACTACTTATTAAATAAATATGAAATCAGGATAAAAATAAGTACACATTTACTGCTTCCATAAGGCTTATGGTTGAAAGATGTTCATAGCTGTAGAGTTCATCAACCATTTTTAAACAATTTGAGACCCATCATATTGAGAAAAAGATTATTTCCCACCATTAAGAAAAATCTGAGTCTTCCAAAGATCTCATGACTGGATGGGCCAGGAAATGGGCCATAAAGAGAAACAGCACAATGCTCAGTCAGTTCATTATAAAAGACTCAACAACTGTTGCTTGGCTTAAGTTTCACATGTTTGAATCTGACTAGCCTGCAAAGGATTGTTGAACAAAGACCTTATGATAACTGAGACTAAGGTAGAGATTTTTGACATGTGCACAGTGACACATTTAGAGAAAGCAAAGCAACTTATTAGCACAAATATTTTGTCAGCTTTATGTAAACACAGTGGTGGAAAATTGATGATTTGTATGTTTTGCAGCCACAAGGACAGACCAGAATGCAGTCAGTGAGTTGACCATAAACTCCATTGTATAATTAATTAATCCATTCATGAATTTATTCCATCGATCCATCCATCCACACATACATACATATTCTTCTGCTTTTCTGGAGACCCAGACTTCCCTCTCCCCAACCACATGTTCCAGCTCCTCTGGGGGGGCAGCAGCTCTGCTCTGAGTCTCTCCTGGATGACTGAGCTTCTCACCCTATCTCTAAGGGAGAGACCAGACACCCTACAGAGAAAAGTCATTTCGGCCGCTTGTGTCCATGACCTCATCCATTTGGTCATGACCCAAAGCTCATGACCATAGATGAGGGTAGGAACGTATATCGACCAGAAAATCAAGAGCTTCGCTTTTTGACTCAGTTCTCTCTTTACCGGTACAACGCTTGCTTCACTGCAGACCCTGCATCAATCTGCCTGTTTATCTCCAGCTCCATTTTTCACTAATACGTGAACAAGACCCCGATATACCTCAACTCCTCCACTTGAGCCATGACATCCCCTCCGACCAAGATGAGGCACCTACACTTTTCCGGCTCAAGAATTTGGTCCCCGGTTTAGAATGTCCTAGTCAAATTCCAATTCTTAATTTTACTGACATAATGAGGACATTAAGAAAGATCAGAGAAATGAATGTGAGTGAATCTTTTTGGTCTAAATGTGAGTGGATCAATATGAATCCACAGAAATTTGACGTTACTACAACCAAAGGTTCTACAAGATGCTGAACAATCAGGTGTACTTACTTTACTTTTCCGTAAAAACTGAATTATTTTTGGCTTCTCTACACAATGGAAGTATGGCACCTATGTTGTTGCACACTTTAGTTCAGATGTAGATGATTTTAGAACCTGATCTGATAATATAACAAACAGAGGGTGAACCTTTCCCCGTGACTGTTCAGTAAGGTAAAAAAAAAAATAACTCTATCACCATCAGGGTGTTTATAACCAAAGGATTCTTCACTATGATCAGTCAGGCTTAATCACCAAACTAACCAACCATGACCAACAAAGGGCACAGCAGTAGACAGAGGGACGTCAAAATAATGTCTGAACGAATGAAAATAAAGAGAGAAAACATCATGTCCAAGGTTGGGCCTGGAGTTAGGAGAATATCTAACCCCGCTCGCTTCCAGCCTCCTTTCTGCTGTCCGTGTTGGTTGCTGATAAGTGAGCGCTCTGGAATGACACTTCCCATCTGCACTGTGGCCTAGCCAAAGTCGCTGCTGCAGAAGTGCAACTGGCAGCTGCAGAGCAGTTCCCTTTGCATTGTGAACAGATTTATACCGAGGTGAAACTTTTTTTTTACCATCATGTTCTGATCATTGGAAGGGAACAAAAGTTCCAACCAGAGGAACCCAGTTTAAACCAGAAAAAACACTTAAACTGAGACATTAGCTTTAGATGAATTACATCACAAAATCTGCATAAAGTCTTTATTGACCTCCTTTACTGTAGTAAAATATGAAATGATGTAGAAATCAATGTTAGTAAGAAATAGATAAATAGAGAGTTCCTATAGAGCATCAGAGTCATCTGATTGTATAGGAACATTTCAGGTGCTCAGCAGTTTGACACCAGCTGCTGATTTTCTTACTCATGATATTTTGTGTATTTTCTCTGGGGGACAGATGTGAACGACAGACAAGCTGACCAGGAACACTCCCTGCAGTAAGCTGGTCAATCAGTTCTGACTTTACAGTTCTAAAATATGCAAGTCATGGGTAGTTCAAAAGCATGTTGACGGAAGGGGTCAAAGGGACGGATGATTGGGTGTGAGGATGGTAATTTGGGTAGTCTTACTGACCACGGTTTGGGAGGAGGAGACTCATCGTATGGAACGACTTTCCCTCCTGCAACAAGGAGGAGTGCATAAAGATGAAGGATGAGTCGAGGAAATAGGGAAAAGTGTGAGAGTGATGGGAGAGGAAAGGAGAGTTGAGGTGAGGATTAGTGGAGAGTGAGGTTGAAGGAGTGACGGGCTGTGAAGGATGAGTCAACTGGGTAAGAGTAGACTGCTGGACAAATGGTTGCTGCTCCCAAACTTAAGATAACATATTAACTTTATCTTCAATTCAATTTAAATTTACTTTTTTAATCTCAAAGGGAAATTAATTGTTGTAATTGAAACTAATTCAAGATTTCTCACTTATTCTAATCCTATAGCCTGGAAATTTTCCTTCCTGTGCAAATCCACTCGATTAAAATCTCTCTTCACAGACATTGTGAACTTTCTTCCTTTGCTTGGATTTCTCTGGTAGATTTTCTACCGGAGGAGTTGTGAATAACGACATTGATTTCCTGCGCTATTTTATTGTTGCAGTCTGCCTGTAGTTGTAGCAATGGCAGCAGAAGAAGTGATCGAAGTCATTTGGTCTATAATGTTAATTAATAATAATGAATTAACGTCAACAGTCACCTTGTTCAGATCAGCACTTCTCTCTTCGCAGTGGAGAATGGTTGATTACAATCCAGGCAACTTCCAGTAAGCCATAGCGTCGAACTGGATCATTACATATGTCACAGTTAATGTTAGTAACAGGGTAACATTTAAAACTTTAACAGAGTTCATGCCTCCAGGAAGCAATCATTTCTCAATAGTCCAGGGTCCAGACCCTGTGGATGAAGCAAAGGGTTGGGTTTTACCAGGTGAACTCTACCCCTGGCTTATGGATACTCTCTCAAAATGTTGCCTTTTACTAAACTTTACTCAACTAGAACCTTAACTTAGGCATATTGGAACCAATTCCATTGATACTGATGAATCCCATAACATCACAGACTGCAGGTCATTAACTGTTCCTCGTTTTCAGGGACTGCGTGGTTGAAAAGCATTTCCTGCTTTCGCCTCAAAGCAACAATGTATATGAGCCAGTTGTGCTGGCGACTTACTGAGTGGAGTCCAGCTTCCTCCCACAATCCAAAAATATACATGTTAGGTTAACCAGAGACAGTCGGCCCCA